CAGTTCAGCATCTCCCTCTTTTTCCTCCTCACCTGTTCCCTCCTGTCCTCCTTCCCCTTCTCTGTCCTTCTTCCTCGATTCTCCTAAACTTCCTTTCATTCATCAATTTATTTGACTGGTTCTTTTTACTTATATATAAAAATGAAATTCCATGTGGCGTATTTATATACATGCACATAGCATAATATTTTAAGAATTCACTCCACATCACTTCTGCTTTCCCATCCCTCCACTCTGCCTCTCCAGCTCCTTTTTTTTTTCACACTTCTGATCTTTCCCATGTCTTTATAATATCCTATCCTTTCTTCCCCCTTTATTTTACTCTAGCTTCCACAAGTGAGGGAAAGCCTTTGACCTTTGAGTTTTTGAGTCTGGCTTATTTCACTTAGCACCATGTTCTCCATTTCCATGGATTTACCAGCAAACGCCGTAAGTTTATTCTTCTGTATGGCCGAGTAGAACTCTGTTGAGTATAAATACCACAGTTTCTTAATCCACTCAGCTAATGGTGGGCCATCAGGGGTTAATTCCATAACTTAGCTATTATGAGACCTAGTCATTTCTAAACAATATTTCAAATATCCCCAAGCTGATAATTTATATTAAATATTCTCTCACTGCAAATGAGAAAAGTTAATTATTCTCATACCAATAGTTCTTTTTATAAAAGAATCTCTATAGTAAAAAGCCACTGATGAGCTATGCCATCTCTGTGACTCCATTTTTCATCTGTGAAATGGAGCTACAGTGAGATTGTTCTGGTGAATTATAAAAATAATGCACCCAGAGAAATTTGTACGATTTCTGTCACATGATGATTTTTTTCAATTAAAAAAAAAGGAGAGAAAACCAAGGAGGTCTTCATTTTGCATGAAGGAAGGAGAAACAAGCATTCTAGAAGAGAACTTGGCATCTAAAGATTAGGTGCAGGTAGTGGGAAATGAGCCCAGGAACTTTCACACTCACTTTCAGCTTCTTGGCTAAATAAAACATGAAAGTCTTTTTAAAAGAGAAAAGGACTGAGGACTTATTCGGTTAGTTGATGATTGTGCTTGACAGGGGAGCCTGCTTCTAGAAACCACGGGATAAATGTGAGTCCTTGAGGATACTGAAAGAGAAATGACATTTTGTCTTTTAAAAAATTAATTGTATTTACAGTTTTAAATGGGAACTTGGTGGTGGTACAAAACATACCAAAAGATGCAGTGAGTGAAAATAGGTTCTCTTCCCTATCCCCCAGCATCCAACTCCCCTTTCCTCTATTGCCCACTTTTTTGTGCATCCATCCAGAGAAATTCTATACCTGTACAATTATACACACACACATACACAATAATGCATGCACAATATACACATATATCCATCAATAGAGTACAAGGCAGATAATTGCATAGGTCTTTTATACATACTTTTAATTGTAATGTTATGTTCTGCGCAGTCTTCTCTATTTTGCTTCTTATACTTTACAGTGTCCCTTGGTACTTCTCCATATCAGCTACAAATATGCACCATTCTTTTTTTTTTGTCATCTCCATAAGAGTATGTACTTTTTTTTGTTCTAATTAGTTATACATGACAGTAGAATGCATTTTGACACATCATACATAAGTGGAGTATAATTTCTCCTTCTTACGGTTGCACATGATTTAGAGTTGCACCAGTCATGTAATCATACATGCATATAGGGTAATAATGTCCAATTCATTCTACTACCATCCTACCCCCACACCTCTTCCCTTCTTTTCACTCCCCTCTGTCTAATCCAAAGTATCGCTATTCTTCCCTAGATCCCCACCCCCTTATTGCAAGTTAGCATCCACATATCAGAGAAAACATTCAGCCTTTGGTTCTTTGGGATTGCCTTATTTTGCTTAGCATGATAGTCTCTTGTTCCATCCATTAACCGGCAAATGACATAATTTCATTCTTAAAGGCTGAGTAATATTCCATTGTATATATGTACCACAATTTCTTTATCCATTCATCTGTTAAGGGTACTTTGGTTGGTTCCATAGTTTAGCTATTGTGAATTAAATGTTTACTTCTGTAAACATTAACATGGCTGCATCACTGTAGTATGCTTATTTTCAGTCTTTTGAGTATATGCCAAAGAGTGGGATAACTGGGTTAAATGGTGGTTCCATTCCAAGTTTTTTAGGAATCTTCATACTGCTTTCCAGAGTGGTTGCACCAATTTGCAGTCCCACCAACAATATAGTCTTGTGCTTTTTAATGGCTGCATAACAGTCGATTATCTAGATGTACAGACATCACAATAACTTTTATGTGTACATTTACATTGTTGACAATATTTTACTTATAAAAGAAAGCAACTATGAAGAGACTTGTGTACACGTGAGTGACGGTGTCTTAGGATAAAACTCCTAAAAAAAATCCTTGAGTTAAAAGATTCATATGCTATTGCAAATGGAATTTTGTCAGATTTACACTCCCACTATCAATTTGCCCATTTCTTTATACTAATAACACTGTGCACAAGCAAAAGTTTGTTTTTATCAATCTGATTGGCCAAAGATATATCACATTTTCATTACTGCTAGCCTTTCTCTTGTCATGAGCAAAAGCAGAATCTTTTCATATATTCAGAGTTATATAAAATTTGTGAAATATCTTCTAATATGTTCACCCAAATTTTCTATTGAGTGACTGGTCTTCCTTGTACTCACCTATAGGAACACTTTCTATGTCAAAAAATATATGTGATATGAATTGTAAATATAGTTTGTCTTCAGTCTTCTGACTTATAGTGGTTTTACCATTAGATTAAAACTCCCAAATAATATAAATTTAATAAAATGTGTTTGGGTCCAATCTAATCTTGAAATTACATAGGACAATTTCTCTAAAAATATGTATATCCTAGAAAAAGATAGGACAATTCTCCATAAGTGGGTATTGGATATTTTAAAATGTCTAGTTTGGGACCAAAGAAAATCTTCTTAAGCATATTTCTGTTTTAAATTTCAATATCTTAGATCAGAGAGAGTATTATTTTATAGTAATAAAATTCTTATTGTTGTAAAAAAATTAACAGCAAGAGACAATAGCTGTAAGACACAGATACCCTGACTAGATTATAACACATTGCACACATGTATTGAATTACATAAGTTTACTCCATAAAGATGTTTAAATATTATGATTCAATAAAAAAGAAATGAGATACACTGATATCTCATAGGTAGAATACAAAAAAAAAAAAAACCCTGAACCTGAAAACATGGGCTAGCCTAGAAACACTTCAAAAAGCTACATCTTTCTGAAGACCCTTTCACACAAGCTGTTCAGAGAAGCCTCTGCTAGGTAGCAAAAGGAAACCCATCTCCAGAAACCAGAGCCACTGACCTCTTGTAGCATCTCTGACAGCACAAAGGAGTCTCAGTGAGTTTTGTCCCCTGAGATGGGAAGAAAATGGAATCATTCTATTCTCCATTGTATAGTAAGAGTTATTCCAGAGCCAAAACCGCGGAAAGGACACAGGAGGAAAGATACAGGCAATCCCGGCAAAACAGGAAGGGCAAGCGGAGCCTACAGACTTGAATGGACAAAAGACAAACCCAGCAGATAGTCAGAAAGGAAAACATCCATCCCCCTTGGACCAGGTTGCATTGCTATCCTGGGAAAGCAGCCATCATTTAGCAAGACCTCTGTTCCTAGCCCTTCCCTGAAAAAGGGTCAAACTCTCAGCTGTGGAGTCCCAGGTTTGTGACCTGAGACTTCCAATGATTGCTTCTATTCATGCCTGGTGTGGTGACAGACACTCCCATTTCCCTTGTAGACTGTCTGGCTCAAGGACCCATTTCTGTTCCTCCATGTTGACTTCCCTTTGGATTCCCTTTCCAGTTCCTCCCCAATTCTGGTTCTTTTGGTTTGTGGTCTTCCATTTCAGTAGCTGGAAGGGGATGCTTTCAGGAGGTGAGGAGGTGCAAGAAAATAATATTGTGAAAAGCAGCTATTTTCCACCCTCCTCAGCCAACAGGAAACCAGAACAAGCAATGTGTTCTTTTTATTGTTTTGCTCTGGGTCAATGTGTCTAAAATATGGGCAGGAGGAAAGGCAGCCGAGTGGACTCTCCTGTGGCCAGGAACAGAGGAAACTTTCTAAAATCAGCATAATTAACTCACCACTAGAACTTTCACACTTCTCACACTTTCAATTCTTTAACAGACTTTCTGCTCCTTTCCTTGTTGGCTCACGCATTCAGCTTGAAAGCACTTCAGATTTCACAGAACACTGAGCATCTGAGAAATATGGGGACTTAATGGGCATGATAAATTATGCAGATGCTGTTGATCATTTGGGTCTCTAAAACCAGCTGCCTGTAGATATTCCAGAGTTGTGGTTAAAACAAAAGGTCTCAGTTGTGAGAACCAGCAGAGACCCTGGCAGGAACGCCTTCTTTCAGAGGAGGCAAAGAGGCCAGGGAAAGTTAAATGTCTTATCCCACATCATTCAGCAACAAGAGGCAGAGCCAGGATCCTGATCCAGGTCTCCCGGCTAGAGGTACAGTGCTGTTTCCATGGCTCACCTGTAAATGACTCTGCAGTAAACATCTCACTGTACCTAGGATGATTTCTGTAAAAAATATTGCATACTTTGAACCACACTGAGCAATGGAAATGTCACACACACACATACACACACACACACTTTCCCTGTAGTTAAATAGCAAACCCTTAAGCCCTTGGGCTTCCAGCAATTTGTGCATAACACACACAATGTATTTGTCTGAGTCAGTTAAAACTTTTAACCAACCCACAGAAGTTCATTTCATAAATATCTTCATTTGTTGCTCAGAGAAAATGTTTTCAAATTTTGAGAATTACAGATGGTTTAATAAACACATGTTGCTCTTTGTCTTTTAACCTTGATGACAACTCAATCACTGTTGTCCAAAAATAAATAAATAGATAGATAGATAGATAGATAGATAGATAGATAGATAGATAGATAGATAAAAGAGACTTTTGACAAAAGCCTGGATTTCAAAGTTTTATTTGGTTCACATCATTTGGGGGCTTGGGAAGCCAGAGTTTTTCTTTAATTTTGCCCTAACATTGAATGTCTTAGCCATCCTTCTATATACAAGATATTTCATCTTTAAAATGACAAACTTGTTGCAGTAGAACATAAGACCGGCTAGGGGCACAGAGAATTCCAGAGCAGCAACCTAACTGGTGAAGGTCACCTTCCTGTGCAGACAGCAGGACCTGGCCGTCAGCCCGGGCTGCTGGCTGATCTCCTACCACAGCGACTAGACACCATCAATCTCCTTAACTCCTAACAAAGACCCGGGCTCTGCTGATGCTGGATACAGGGTGCTCCTCTGTCACCCATCCGTAGCTGCTGTAGGCAAAGTAATGAAATAAGACCTTGTCAGATCACCATACTCTTCCCTGCTGATGACCTCAGAAGGAAGTCACTTGCCACAGAGAAGTGTGTCGTGATCCACCTCAGGAGAGGCCTCATCTCTCTCACACTCAGACCACAGTTGGGATGTGAAAGTTGGCAGGTCAGTAGCTACAGATGACACATGGGGACAGGTTGGTGGTTCATGCTATTGGCACACTACTGAGCCTCTCTCAGTCAGCACTATCATAGAGTCTGACTCCCTCCCTTTTAATAGGAGCCCTGAAGGTCAAAACCTCAAGCCTCCCTGAGAAGTACCCTATTCTCTCTTCTCTTCTTGATGCATTCCCATTAGAAAACCAAATCTCAGCCAATCCACCTGTAGCTGGGAAGGAAGGAAGAGTAAGCATGGTCCAAGCTCTGTCATAATTTATCATCTCTGTAAACCTTAAACACTTAATTTCAACCTAAAATACAAAAAGTAATGATTTAAATTGTACATATTTAATATATTGTATATTAAAGAACAAATGTTCCTTACCTTATGATGGGGTTTCATCCTGATAAATCCATTACAAGTTGAAAATATCTTAAGTCAAAATGTATTTGAGGGCTGGGGCTGGGGCTCAGTGATAGAGCACTCACCTAGCACATGCGAGGCACTGGGTTCAATCCTCAGCACCACATAAAAATAAATAAACAAAATAAAGGTATTGTGTCCAACTACAACTAAAAACATGTATTTGATACACATAACCTCCTAAACATCATGGCTTGGCCTGGTACCTTAAATGCTCAGAACACTTACATTAGCCTAAAGTTGGGTAGAATTGTCTCTCAGAAAGTCTGTTTTATAATAAAGTGTTGACTATCTCATCTAATTTATTGACTACTATACTGAAAGTGAGAAACAAAATGGTCTCATGGGTACTCACTATTGATGTATAGTTAAGGTACAGTAAAGTGTGGTTCCAACTAGTTCCATTTCATTTGAAGAGTAGAAGCACCCTAACTTGGGAACAATCCATATTTGCATACATTAACAAATACATTTATAATATAAATATATATATACAATTTATCAACATGTAGGGCCAAAGCATTTTTTCACTGTGAGTTCATCATTTCCTGATCTATAAAATCTTTCTGACTTCGACCAAACAATGCACTGTCTGCTACTCCTAACTTGAATTCTCTAAAGATGAGCAGAAGAGCTGAGAATGTGGCTCGGTGGTAGAGGGTTTGCCTAGCATGGGTGAGGCCCTGGATTCAATCTCTAGCACAGCACTCAATCAGTAAGGAAGAAGAGAAAGTTACTTCCTCATCAGTTGAAGTCTAGAACTTTTTGGCCTTTATAATTGTTTCACATGGGTAGCTAGACTTTTTCATTTCTAGTAATGAATATTTTGTGATGCTCTTATCTATGATTATAGAACAAATAGACCCATCACAAATTACTTAACTGACTCCATATATGATCACATTTCACTTCGAATTTGCAATTTTGTTTTTACCTTTAGCACACTGAGAAAGGCACAATATAAAATTGTTGGGGGGGGTAGTATATGTCCCAAAACACTTGGGGGCATATTAGCACAATTCACAATAGCCTAGAGGTGAAAACAAGCCAGCATACCATCTCCAATGGACGGATAAACAAATTGTGGTACATGTATATGACAGAACCATTACTCATCCATAAAAAGGAATAAGTACAGTATGGCTGAACATCAAAAAAAATTATACTATGCGCAAGAAGGGAAACACTGAAGATTACATTTTGTTTATGACTCCATTTACATAAAATATCCAGAATAGGTAAAGCTGTAATATCAGAAAGCACATTAGTGGTTTCTGGGGGCTTGGAGGAAGAGGGATGTGAGAGATTGATCTATAGGTACAGGAATAGTACCCTTTTGAGGAGATAAAATGTTCTGGAAATAGGTAGAGGTGATGGTCACGCATTGTGAATATACTAAGTGTTCCAAGTTCTATACATTTAAATGCTTAATTTTGTTATGTGAATTTAGGTCTCAAGAATCTACAACTGCCCTCTGCACACATATGCACAAGCCACACACATCCACACTGCGTGTGTGTGCAAGCATGAGCCCACAGCCATCCTTTGCAGCTGTCCTTCTGCCTTCCCAGAGCTCATTGCTCAGTCACTCCTTCTTTGGGTACCAGAGCCTGGAGAATGCTCAGAGCCTTAGAGACATTGCAATCATCACACGAGCTTCTCATCCTCCTTCCCAGACTAAATTCCACCCTCTCAAGTCTGCGTTCAAGAGACTATCAGAATCAGCTTGATGGGCCATTTGGAAACTGTTAGGAAACCTGACAAGTCCCTTTGGGTCTTTTGCTGCTCCATGAAGGTGAACAGGAGCATTGGCTGCATGGCCCCCTCCACCTGCATTCCCTGAGGGGCATCGTTTCCTTTCAGCAGCACAGATGTGCCAGGTCTGCTGAGCAAGTTGAACACACCCATTGCTTTTTGAAAAATGGCAGACACTAAGGTAAGCCCCGCTGGTAAGCACACCAATGCCCTGAAATTTTTATCTCAACATAGGACAGGCTGAGAGACTTTGATTTAGGCCTCCAGATGTTCCACAAAGAGGAAGAGGAAGAACTCCAATGGGACAGCTGAGCTCTGACTGGGAAAGTCTGCCATCTTTATCTCTGGGAGCTCTACACAAAGCAGACCTAGCCCTAGGAGCCTGTTGTGAGACCATTGTGAGACGTGGTAAGCCTCGGAGAGGGGGATTAAAGCTAACAGAAAGCAAATGTCTACTTTGGCAAAGTCCACAACTGACGTCAGTTTATTTTCCTCTCCATTGTTAATGGGGGAAAAAAAAAGTTATAACAAGACAGCTCTGGTAGAAACGCTAAATACAAAATGTTCTGTTTGACTTTGATCATTCCTGCTTATTGTGATAAGCAACACATGGCAGCAGCCTTGACTTCTCAACTGGAGTAAATTATCAATTGAATCATCTTTCCCACAAAAGCTCACCTGCTCAGGAAGGAAAATGTCCAAGAACGAAGACAAAAAAAAAGACAGACTCTGGCAAAGACACAAAAACATGCTTGAATTTACCTGTTAGTGTGCTCTGCTAAACACAGACTCCACCTCTTCTTTTTTTTTTAATATATATATTTTTTTTAGTTGTCAATGGACCTTTATTTTATTGATTTATATGTGGTGCTGAGAATCAAACCAAGGGCCCCAAGAATGCCAGGCAAGTGCTCTACCACTGAGCCACAACCCCAGCCCCTCTACCTCTTCTTAACAGAAAACCCTCATGGAAATTTCTAAGTTTTAGGACCTTCATTGCCATGATCATATCCTTTTTGGTGTGTATGGCTAAATAGGCATAAGGCAAAATTTACAATTTAAATATTTTTAATTGTGCAGGTCAATGACATTAGTACATTCACATTGATGTGATTTGCGAATATTCTTTTCCAGGCAATGGATTGTCTTTTCACTCTCTTGACATATCATTTGAAGTACAAGTTTCTAAATTTGGTAAAGTACGAGTTATCTATATTTTCTTTTGTTGTTTGTGCTTTTGTTATTACCCCAAAAAAATCATTGCCAAATCCACTGTCATGATGATTTTCCCCTTTTTACTCTAGGAGTTTTATCATTTTCTTTTTTATATTTTTTTATTTATTTTATTTTATTTTATTTTATTTTTTTTGATGTGGGGAACTGTTTATTTTTTTTATTGTTGGTTGTTCAAAACATTACATAGTTCTTGATATATCATATTTCACACTTTGATTCAAGTATGTCAATATGTAAATCAATGGAAGTGTAACTGATGTGATTCTGCAAGCTGTATACGGGGTAAAAATGGGAGTTCATAACCCACTTGATTTTATTTTTTTAAATAGACAACAACAGTGGAATGCATTACGATTCTTATTACACATATAGAGCACAGTTTTTCATATCTCTGTATATAAAGTATGTTCACACCAATTTATGCCACTATACAGGTACCTTTTTTTGCATTAAATTCTTAATACACATATATACCACAATTTTTCATTATTCTGTTTGTATATAAGGTATGTTGACACCCAATTCAAGTCTTCATATTTAAGTCTTTGATCCATTTTAAGTTAATTTTTATATATCATCTAAGGTAAATGTCCAACTTCATTATTTTGTTTGTAGATATCCAGTTCTTCCAGTTCTTTTTTTTAAAATAGATTGTCCTTTCCCCATTGAATGGTGTTGGTGCCATTGTTGAAAATTATTTCACTATATAGGCAAGGATTTATTTCTGAGATCTCTACTTACTAAATCAATCTACATTTTCAGATCCATGCCAGTACGATACTGTTTTGACTACTGCAGCATTGTAGTAAGTTTTGAAATTATAAAGTGTGAGCCTTACAACTTTATTCTTGTTTTTCAAGATTATTTTGACTATTCAGGGCCTCTGGAGATTCCATATGAGTTTTCAGATAGATTTTCCTATCTCTGTAAAGAAAAATCATTAAGGTTTTAATAAGGATATCATTGAATCTATAAATTTCAAGGTGGTCTCAGTCTTTTATAAATTAAAATGCTGTTGGATTTCATTACAGAAGCACATCTCCACCTCAGAAGGTAGGGTGGGGCCCAGATATGTGACAATCAGACTTCGTTTGCCCTGGAATTACCTCAGTTCTGGTAGGGATGTAGCTCAATGGTAGGGACATGCTTAGTATGTGCAAGGGTCTGGATTTGATCCCTAGCCAACACAAAAAATAATAAGTCCAAGAATTGTCTTGGCTCTTCCCTTGTAATAAATTATATTTATTCCCTACAATCCAATTACACTGATTTAAATTAACCATGCACCCAATTACCAATAACAGTAAGACAGACATTAATTACCTTCGTTCCTGATCCAATCACAGGCAAGATGATAGAATTATTACAACTGGCTTAAATGAGTCAAATTATACCATTGGAGATAAGGGTAGGGGTAACTTCCTGAGTTGTGCAGCAAAAAGAGATGCTCTTGGAGTGGAAGGGGATGAGGATGATTACTATATAGTCAACTAGTGGTGTTCCCTAAATTTCTACATTTATGGTCTCTGTAAGTGGGCTGGGGTTTGTGAACAATAAAAGATGTCTTACAGTCTAGAGGAAAGTAAGGGGGCGGGGGAGGTAGGAAGGAGGGACTATGACATCATAAAGACATAGGGAAGATCAGTGGAGTAGAAGGAGATTTAGAGGGAGGGAGGAGGGATGGGAAAGGGGAGGAAATGCAGAATGAATTTGATAAAACTGCACTGTGTGCATGTATAAATATACCACAGTGAATTCCACCTTTATGTATATCTATAAAGCACCAATTAAAAATAAATACATAAGTGAATGAAAGGAAGACCAGTGGAGGAAGGTTAAGGAGAAAAGGAGGAAAGTAGGGGCACCAGAAACTGAAGTGAAGTAAATTGAATTCTTTGCATGTATAATTATGTCAAAATGAACCCATTATTATGTATAACAATAATGCACTAACAAAAAATATTTTTTAAAAATAAAGGATGTATTGCCCTTAGGTGCAGTAAGTCCAAATATGGTCAAATATTGGGGGAGAGTGCTACTGTGGAATCAAGGTGATTTTATTTAGCAATAGCAATGGATTATGTCAAAATACTAAGAAATTTCCAAACAGATCAAACAAATCCAAAAGTCCTGAATTTAAACCAACTGGAAAAATGTTTATGCCTGAAACTTCAGAAATAATATTTTGCTTAAATCAGTACACAGTGGTGGTAACAATAATGAACCTGTATGGCATTTTAAATACTTTATAATCTAATTTCCCATCTGACCATGCTTAAAAAGCCCATAACTAAGGGGTTCATTCTGCCTGTTGAACTTTTAAAGTTTCCATTTCTTTTTTTATGTACCACCATTTTATAAAAATATTCAACCTCCTCCAGCACATTCTGGCTTGAACAAGCCCTGAGATAAACAGAGGATAATGTGGTGGCTGATTGTTTCCACTTGAAAAAGGAAGAAAGATCTGCCGTATCGATAGTGCTTTCTAGAGGAATCAAATGAAACTAAATAATCTATGTGAGTATTGACAATAGTTCTTCCTCTTTGTGAAGTAGTTGATGCTTCTAAAAATATATTTTCAAATACAACCATCTAAAACTTTTTAAATTGCTGAGTCCCAATATAGCTAAGCCAGTGTTTTATTGTTAGCAACAAATCAGATTAAAGTATCTGAGAAGCATTCACCTGGACAGAAATTGGTTATGAATGTGATGTCACTGAAAATAGTGACATCAGAACCCTCCCATAGGAAGTGTCATGGATCAGTGGACCAACAGCCAAATCTCATCTTCAGTTGTCATTGAGTTGCTCAGAGCAAAAGACTCAGAATACTTATTTCCTGTGAACTACAGTAAACCCCTTTAGGATGTTGATGATGCCTGTTAGAAGACATTTACATTAAAGATTATAAAAGCCTAAGACAAATTAGGCTATCTGGAGTTTGTGGGATGCACTCTTTAAATTAACTTAGACCTATGTGCACAGTGAACAAATTAATATTTCACAAAATCAGGTCAATTTGACATCTCCAATTCCCATATGCTCCTGAAGACCAGAAATCTGTTTCTCTAGCGGATCCAAAGAGAGAAATCCCTGAGGAAAGATTTCAGGCAGAACATTTCAGGGCTTATGTTTCATTGCAATTATCTCTTCTCTTCCTGTGGATATTTGATTTATTACTGCTGTCAGGAAACACCTCAGTTTCCAGTAAGAAAATGAAGAAAGGCTGAGACGCCCACATCCCAGCTGACCAAGCTTCTAGTCACGTGGCATCTGTGAAAATAGAACTGATAAAAGTTCTGGTTTCCAATGCTAATTGAAAAAAAAAAATCAAGTTTTCCATTTTTCCTATCCATCTAGTAGTTTTATTTCTTTTGAGCCTCAATTTTTTAAAGTAATAACTTTAAGAACAGTATCAACAAATGATGCAAACACTTTTTTGGAAAGCAAAATTATTCTACAAAATATTTTTCCACAAAAATAATAATCCTCCCAAGCCCTTTGAAGCTGATTTCTTAAAACAATCCAAATTTCAAAAAAACTAAAAGCCTCAAGAAATAAGGGCCTTTTTTCTTCAGGCGGGTTAAGACATGCATATGGGGAAGTAAATCTATATATTCAGAAAATTTTGAATCTGATACAGTCTGGCTAACTAATGCCTCAGACGCTTATTCAGAAGACTTTACATTTATTTGTTATAGCCATCAAGTTTCCAGAAACACTAAAAAGTTGCATTTTGTCGGAAAATGTGTATGTATGCTTGGGCATGCTGAGGCTCTGTCTTACTTTGGGGAGATTATAATTGAAGACCAATAAATACAAACTCTAGGGGGTTTTACAAGTGGCTCCAGAGTAGTTACGGGCATGCAGTAAACTGCTAGTTTCTCACACAGAACCCATTCTTCCCTCTCCCTCCTACCAACTTTGTGGTTGAGCCTCTCCAGCAACAGACACTGAAGTAAGGCTTTGGGCACAAGCAGTTTGTCTGAGCAGTGATAACAGAGGACACTGGTAGGTGTGTAAGGTAGTCACCCAAGAAAGGAGGCAGCCCCAGTCCAGAGCGTGTCCATGAGTAGCTTGTCTTTGTGAGCCACTGGAGCTCAATACCACTGAGGACTTAAGGGAGGCAGGGAGAACATACCTGAGAGGTTTTCCACCAGGGACCTAAAAGCTTGGGATACCCACTGCTGACCGAGAGCTGCTCTGGAAACATGGATGCTCTGCACTTTACAGCCTGCCCCCCGATGCAGAGCCAGCTACCTTCTGTCCAGAGAGTTCCTCTGTCTAGCAGTAGGTGTAGCAGACAGCTATCAGTGGGTCCCAGAAACAGTGCACCTCAGGAAGATAAGGGCACCAACAGCCCCTATTACACTACACAGATTCCAGTTTGGCCAGGCCTCGCCTCTCTCTACAACATCCATTGCTCATCAGTGCACTCTAGATTGGCTGCCTCCTTTTCTGGGACATAATACTTACGTGCTTATTGTAACATGTGTTCTATAATACAGGGTTATTATATTTACATATATTTATAGGGACACAAGTAGTTCCTCCAAAGCCTTGTAATTTTTGTTTGTGTTTACCAAGAAAGTGTAATAAGATGTTTATACTCAGAAAACCCCATTTTTTACTCTAACTCTGCTAGATTTACTAAATAGTTCCTTAGCTTGAAAGTGCTCCCTGCTTGCCCCCACACCCAAATTCATGTGTTAGAATCCTAATTTCCAACGCAGCAGTGTTGCAAGGGGAAGCCCTAACAAGAGGTGATTAGGTAAGAGTAGACTTGTTGGGGCTGGGGATGTGGCTCAAGCAGTAGCACGCTCGCCTGGCATGTGTGTGGCCCGGGTTCGATCCTCAGCACCACATACAAACAAAGATGTTGTTGTCCGCCGATAACTAAAATATAAAATATTTTTAAAATTCTCTCTCTCTCACCCAGTCTCAGGTATTCTGTTAGAGCAGCGGAAAATGAACTTAAGAAAATAAGCACTCACAGACAAGCTTTGATTTCCATTTTCTCTAGGTATGAAAGAATAATATTCTCTCTTCCTTCTGTCTTGCTGATTTGTCATAGAAACACATATCATGGTGTATGTAAAAGCATCTATAAACTCTGCATACCTAGCTCCACCAAAAAAAAAATCACTTTTTAACCTCTATCAATAATACTTACATCCTCTGGCTTTGTTACCTAGTACGTGAAGGATAATATTTTAAGTTGAAAAATTAGGGCTTTCTCTTCCGGACTTGAGGATACCAGGACCTGACTCTGCCTTTCCTTCACTTGGCTCATGAAATCTGCCCCCTCAGGGAAGGGCCTGACTTTACGGTGTGGAAAGAAACCAAAGGAGGGAAAGAATCAGGTTTGATGCAGCCAGAGGCTTTGCGCCTTGGTGTCCCTTTGCAGCCTCACTGCCTGCCAAGAGGGCAGATGTGGGGACCCCTGGGACCCAGAAGAACAACCCGAGACTCCAGGAGAGGAGGTGCAGAAGCCGAGGGGAACATGAACCCAGGCAGGTCCCAGCTGGGAAATAAACAGGCCAAACCAAGAGCTCTGCTCACTCACAAATCAAAAAAAAAAAAAAAAAAAAAAAAACCTCTCAGAAGGAAAGTTTGTCAGGAGCAACCTGGATGCTGGCCAGAGGGAAAGCAGAGAGGACTGCAGACTCCCAGTAAAACGCATCCACAGAAGAACGCAGATCCATCTCCCTAAGGAGAAGCAGGGGTGGCAGTCAGTGCTGCTCTGTCCACACAGGTTACCTCCCTCCTTCCTTCCACTTTACAGGACAGGGGTGCCTCCCCACCCAAGTGCCTCGCAGTGCCCAGCACAACAACTCATCTTTGTTGTAGGAATTTTCCAAACTCGTGGTCAATAAGAAATCCCTGAAGAACCATTCCTGAGCATGCACTGTGCACAGTGAACTCTGAATAAGTGTTAAGGCTTTGACAGGAAAGCAAAGGGGCAGACATCTCTGCGTGCTGGTGAGCAGCTCAGTGACTTCACAGTTCCACTCATACTTTATCCACACTGGAGGCACCAATGCAGGGAGTTATGTAGATATTTCAGGACTTTAGTTAGTTTCTGCGATTTCAAATTGTTATCAGAAGATCAAGCCCTTCCTTTGTCCCTGGTTTTCTGTCTTACCATTTGACCTTTTCTGAACATGCTCCCACCATGATATCCTCCATCATGACACAACTGGGAGGTGTGACTCACTAAAGCCAGTGCAATGCTATTGGGATTTTCAGACTCCAAAACTGTAGGACAAATATGCCTCTTTTCTTTATAAAGTATGCATCCTCGGGTATTTTGTTATACAATAGAAAGCAGATTAAAACAGCCGCCATATGCAGTTTACAGAGCAGCACTAGCAGATCTGGCATTGGCGGGCATAGATTCAGACAAGAGGGACCTGATCCTAAGGCTCCAGTTTAGGGAATCTCTTCTGACTCTCCTTTTTTGTGCTTCTCCCCATGGAACTAAGAGTCTACAAGTCCAATAGGATGCACCCATTCAGAGCCTGATCTCATTCCTGCTTCTTAATTGTACCCCAAGTACCCAGGTTCTCTAAATTCCCTGTCCAATGACCTAAGGTCAATTCCAGAACCTGTGT